CTGTAACCATTATTCAAATAATATTATGTTAACTTGGACAATATTAAAAGAAAAAGTCCCCCCAGTACATCTGGAATCAAGGAAAGATAATTAATTTAGTTTATCCTTGATGAATAGCGAAAGAGATTTCATCAAATCAAATGTCAGAAAACAAAATAAGTATTTTACACCGTTTTTTTTATTTAGATTTTCTAGTGTCTGTTTTCCAAATGCTAATTTTTGTCATATCTTACAGGAGATAGAGCTTTTAATCTGTAAACAGCCAGTGGCTCATTTTTGCGTTACAGTTAAATAATTCTCTCAAAAAGTTTTGAATATTTACAGGTGTGAAAACTATTCAGCAAAGAACTTGCTTTTATGACTGTAATTCAATTCAATTAAAAAATACTTTATTAATCCAAAAGAGAAATTAAACGTTGCAGTAACTCATATGTTATTTTTCATAAGTTATATTCAACGTTTCAATAATCAGTCATATAGTCAACATACAGACGTATTTCACAGAGAACATTGTATAGTCCCGTCCACTCTGAAGCTGATTGAAGTTATATCAATTACCAGAGGAAATTGGAGTGCCTATTAGGGTTGTCAAAAACTATCGATACTCAAAAAAGTATCGATACCGAAATCTTGTATCCGGATACAATACTCGTTTTTAAAAGTATCTATACTTGTGCCACCACCAGTGGCACCTAAGCAGTCATTCATCTAAAGTGCAGAATAGAGGACAATGCACTTTCAGAACACTGTGTGATTGAATAATTCTGTGCACTTCAGTTTCAGACTTTTTTTTTTGTAAGAGGTGCAGCTTTTTATCAAGCTTGCTTAATATTGTGCACAGCAAACAACCTTTATTGTATTTATTTATTGTATTTTATCTATTAATGAAAATATTTCTCTAGAATTTTGGAGTCTTTGTTTTTATCCTTGTGGTATCGAAAAGGGTATCGAGTATCGAATATTTTCCTTAGTATCGGTATCGAGTTGAAAAGTTTAGTATCGTGACAACCCTAGTACCTATAAAAACTATTTCACAGGATTGTGGCAAATGAGTGAACTCCACACAGACAGGTCTCAGTGCCAATTGTCAAGATCAAGACATTAAGTGAAAATCAAATATTTTCTTGGGGCCTGTGACTGAAAACATTCTTAGGGGGGAGTAGAGGTTCCGGGTAAGCCCATTCATGCCTTTGCTGCTACCTTTTTTTTCACAAGTCTGATAGATAAGTTTGAAGGAAGTGGAATTTCTGACCTCCGAGTAGGGAATTTCAACTTGAAAGCCAATAAAATGTTTGAATTCTGAGTAAGAAATAGTAAATCAATGGTAGACTTCCCTATTTTTAATATTTGTAGCAGTTCCTTATTACAGATGTGACATTAAGTCAGTTATTCAGATACTACTTTTAAGTGTTTATCAGACTACATTTTATGGTCCTGTCTATTTGCACAGAATATAACACGTAGAACAGCTGGCAATGCAATGCATTCTAATCTGCTGACAACAAAATCGCACACAAATCATCAATTGAAATCAATTTTATTGACCAATGGAAGCCTTGGTTTGGAATCACACACAGAATTTAAGTGGAAAAAAAATCATAGGTCGAAATAGGTCAAAATTAGGCTTAGCATTGTGTGTAGCCTCATACTCGTATGACCTCCCTACAATGCCTGAGCATGCTCCTGATGAGGTGCGGATGGTCTACTGAGGGATCTCCTCCCAGATCTGAACTAAAGCATCTGTCAGCTCCTGGACAGTGTGTGGTGCAACGTGACTTTGGTGGATGAATCGAGACATGATGTCACAGATGTGATCAATCAAACTCAGGTCTGGGGAATGGGCAGGCAGGTCCATACCTTCATCTTCCAGGAACTGCTGATACACGACAGCCATGTGATGTATAGTATTGTCCTGCATTAGTAGGAACTCAAGGCCAACCGCACCAGCATATGGACTCACAAGGGGCCAGAGGATCTCATCTTAGTACCTAATGGGAGTCATGCTACCTCTGGCAAACACATGGAGGGCTGTGAGGCCCCCAAAAGATATGCCATCACACAAAGCATTGGTACTGAGAAGTGGTCTGTGGTCCACACCTGTAAAACCACTCCTTTGTTGAGTGTGTCTTGCTAATGGCCACTAATTTCCATCTGTTGTTTATGTCATTTGCACAAAACATGTGGAATCAGCAATCAGTGTCGCTTCCTAATTGGGCAGTCTGATTTCATAGAAGTTTGTTTTTATTGAAGTTATATGTGTTGTTTACATGTTCCCTTTATTTTTTTGAGCACTGTAGAATGTTATTCAGATTGCGTTATCCATCCTTCTTCCCTTCTGTTTCGTCCGTTCCGGTCATGGTCTGTCTACATCCGTCTATGGCCGCAAGCTATGGTACACCTGGGACAGGCCACTAGTCCAGATTACATTTTTTTTAAACATAAACTCAAGAAAAAGAATTATCAATGGAATTTATTGTGCTCTTGTGTTTTAAATAGACTTTTAGTGATTAGGCACTAGAAAGAATACATTAACATGCAAGTTTACTTGAAAAATTATATTCATTTTCCTATAAATTATACATAGTTATGTCGCATCAAAACTTGGATAACAAGCTGAAAGAAAAGAAACTGAAAAACATATATGATATATATAATCTGGATATGTTTACAAAACATTATCATATAAAGTCCCAAAGTGCAAATCTGGCATAAGCCAAATTGATACCTTGTAGAATTCAAATTGAATTACGATCTGGGAAGGCTCCTGTAGAAAGTGTTTACAAAAGGGAAGGGAAATTCAGTCACAATTCTTCAAGCTGATTGGGTACTTTCCTCTCATGCTGAGTTTTTAGCCAATCACAGTAGCAGTAGCAGCTTGATTTGTTTCACATCTAGTGGAGTTAACTGATAAATTTAAGTATTCTGATAAATTTTAAGTATTAGCAAATCTGGTCTGGGAGAATGCTCAACCATCTTCCCTTCCACGAAGTCAAAAAGAAATATAAGGTATTCTAGCTAAAAATGAAACAGCCATGTATTAAGTCTTCAGCCTCTGGTGGACACATTGATATGTGTCCACGTCATATGTATATATATATATATATAGTTTTCTTTCCATGTGTTTTTTAGACGATCAAGGTTACAGTTC